CGTTCTATTAGTTCTACAGCTTCAGTTTCGGAACTTTCACGCTTAGTAACACATAAAGCTGTTCCCTCACCACAGTGCAACAGTGAAAAGGGACCCCCTTCCAACAGTGTCGAGTTCCGAACGTTGTTTAAGCGACATACACCGGTATTGCGGTATTTTAAAAATACATATCATAACAAAAATAAACACCGGTATTCGGTATGAACCGGTATACCGCCCAGCACTACTGCTTTGTTCCAAGCAATAATTTACAAGCTGTGATTACGGGCTGTTCTGTCATAGATGTCTACAGTTGATTGAATTGTTTTCATGAGGGTAGCATGAATAATATAAACCCCTCCTGTCCACCTGCACCTGAAGAGGCTGTTGTCACTCGCAGTCTCTGGCCTTTTTGGTCTAGTGTGTCTTTATATGCACCAGAAACACAAGAACATATCTTCCTTGTGTTTTGTATATGTCTTCCACCTCTTGTCAGGGAGGAAAAAATACAAGAAAAGTGGCCCATACAACTTGTTGATCCTTCAGAAATCATTCTAATATGCTTGTTTGGTCAGTCAGAGAGATCTTTTATTATTAGTGTTGAAAACGGTTGTGCTGCTTAATTTTTGTGGAAACAGTAAGTAGAATAAAAAGTTAAAATGTTCATCTGAAAAAAAAAATATTATAGACATTATAAATGTCTATACTGTAATTTTTTTATGAATTTAATACATCCTTTTCAGTACTTATTTATGTTATTATTATTATTTTAGATTTTACAGACCCCATACTTTTGAACTGTAATGTTTGCTAGATTTGAGAGGGAACTGACCGAAATTACATTTATTATTCTCTGAAAATCTGCACCCTGTTATGGCTTTCAAATCATATTCGTGCTTTTATTACAAAACATACTTGATATGTGACTTTAAACGTGCACAATGATGAATGATATTAGAAATCGGTCTAGATTTACTGATGTGGTAAAGTTTTTAAACAAATTGTAAAGTTATATGTAATGGATGACTGTTTTTGATCTTAATAGTTTTTGATAAAATTGATCATTGACATTGCAGAATTGCTTTGGTGTAACAGTTTTTATTTATTTTCTGCTACTCAGTACTTGATCTTAAAACTGGAGAGACCAGCTATCGTTCTGAGCATCACCTATGGCAAATATGAGAAAACCCACGTGTGCAACCTGAAAAAGTTCAAAGTGTTCGGAGGCATGAGCGAAGAAAACATGACGGAACTCTTGTCTAGGTGAGACTGGTGGGAGAATGTTAGTTTGTGATTACAATCTACTTACAGGCTAATCTTTGTCAGATATACTTTACGGACTTTTAGAGCATCTCGAGAGCAGGTGACTGGATTTAATTAACTTACTAATAGAGCACCAGAATACAAACATTTTATAAAATGGCTTATTGTGTTTCTTGCGATGTGAGTAATGTTTTGGGAAATGACTTCTTGTGATGTGGTGAGGTCATTGACTGTCTTTCTCATCTAATCCTAGTGGCCTTAAGAATGACTTCAACAAGGAGACATTCACGCTAAAGCACAAGATCGATGAGCAGATGTTTCCCTGCAGGTTCATTAAAATAGGTGAGTGTTTACAGAAAGAGCAAACTAAAGACCCGGTGAACTCATGTGGTGACACATTTAGGGGAAAGATCAGTCATCACATGATTTCAGAGGAAGACAATGAGTTGAGTGAGTGAGTGATTGAATGACTCTGCAAGTCTTTGATGGAACAAACAAGTGCTTGTGAGAGCTTTTTCTCTTGTAATATTGCAAGCTGTGTGTTTCAGACATTGAAATCTCTGCGATTCTTTTGAGAATGGAAAATTTGACTTTTTTTTTTTTTTTTTTAAGCAAAGTGTGAATGTCCTCTCTTGATGCTGTCTGTGTGTGTTTGGTTATGTACAGTGCCTCTGATGTCATGGGGGCCCAGCTTTAACTTCAGCATCTGGTATATTGAGTTACACGGCATAGAAGATCTAGAAGTTGTCCAGCCCTGCCTTAACTGGTACAGTAAGGTGAGTTGTGTCCGAACATCCACATCCATATTTGAGGATGAATGCCACAAAGAAATGTTAAGTTCATAATTCATCCCAAAATCAAAAGAAGCATTCTAAGACCATTAAAATTGTTCTTATATTTTAAAAATTTTTTAATTTATGCAATGATAAAGAATGAAATGAAATTCTGGATCTAAAAATGGGTGGCAAATACACACACACACACACGTCTATCTTAAAAGAATGTAAAAGTTAACATGCTGCGTAATTTCAGATTATGCCATTACTAACCACCCACTGCTTAAAGATAATCACACACAAGTGATTTAAGGTAATATATATTTCCTGATTTTTTTTCGTAATCTTTATTTCAGTAAACTGCGTCACTGTCTTTGTTCGTCATAACCATTAACAGTTTTTAAATTGCCAAGCTGTTCCAGTAAGAAAAACATTCTTGATTTTATAACACTCGCACTCCATTTGCACAGGCAGTTTCACGCAATATTAAGCTTGGATTGATGGCACGTTACAGCTAAAGTGCTTTTTTTTTTTCTCCCGACAGTACCGTGAACAGGAGGCCATCCGCCTGTGCCTGAAACACTTCCGGCAGCACAACTACACAGAAGCCTTCGAGTCCCTGCAGAAGAAAACACGGATCGCTCTGGAGCATCCCATGCTCACGCACCTCCATGAGCGGCTGGTTCTCAGAGGAGACTTTGACGCCTGCGAGGAGCTCATTGACAAAGCCGTGAGAGGTACCTCATCATATGGATCTGTGCCACATTCATTAAAGGGTCATGGAACCCCAGACTACTTTTTCTGAGATTTTAGCAGAGGTGTTTGTGTTGCACATCATAGAAGACAATGTTAGCATCTGATAATTTTAACTGTTGGAGAAAACTGGTTAATTTTAAGCTTTTTTGCGCTATTTTCATCTTCCGGGTTTAAAATCTACATTGTGTTGGCGTCACAATTTGTGACGTGGCAATGGACAAATAGTACATCGATGACGTATCGGTGTCTATTAAATTATTCATGAGACTGCGTGTTCTTATCCTATGAGAAGACGCTCCGCTTAATTATTCACAACAGCATGTGTTGATTTGCTATGACAGACGTTTCAGACTGTGAGATGACATTGCGCACAATAACTGAAACGTTCATGGATCGAAGAAGAGTGTTTGTTTTTGCTTTGTAATAAGAGTTC